CCCCCCATTTTTGCCCCCTCACAGGACCGCGAGAGGTGCAGGCATGCCTTCAAATGACCCCTCGACCCCCCCTTCCTGGCCTGCAGAGGACAAGAGGAGATCATTGGCCAGGCCAGGTCCAACATGGGGGGGCCACGTGGGGCAGCCTGAGAAGATGGAAAGGGCCCCCCGTCATGACCCCCCGAAGCCCAGCTGCCCAGGGAGTGAAGGAGAAAAGGACTCTGGATTTTCAGGTACAGGCAGGGGGGGAGGCTATAACAACCCCCTTGCTGGGGGGGGGTCTCTGCCTGTCCCAGTGGTGGGGAATCAATTGGTGAGGGTCCTGGGTGGGGGTGAAGGGGGCAGGAGGGTGACCCACATGATGCGGGGTGAACCTGGTGCAGTTGCTCCCCACCACCCCACGCAGTGTGGGCTGTGCCGCAGGAGTGAGTGGCGGCCATGAAGGGCCCCTGTGGCCAGGCGCTGCCCGGCCTGTCCTCTCGCTGGCTTCCCTCGCTTCCCGCCTCCTCTCTTTGCACAGACAGGAGCTCGGAGTGCCTGAGTGCCCTTGAGCAGACGGACACCGGGGATCCGGGCAGCCCCCCCTTGCCTCCGGGGCCGGCCGAGTGGCAGGAAGCCAAGGGGGGTCTCACACCTCTCTACCTCATCCAGAATGTGATCCTCGAACAGGTAGCCTGTGTGGCTGGCCACCTGGGCCAGCTCCCCCCCCCCCCGCCCCCGCGGTGTGGCTGGCCCCTGGCCTGGCCCCACCCTCAGCCTCCTGCCTGCGGGCTTTCAGGGCACCCGGCTCCCTGTCCGAAGGAGTGCCCGCTCGGTCGGTCAGTTGGAGGGTGTGGGCTCCCCTTGCCTGTAGGAATCGGATGCCGAGGGGTGGTGAGGCCAGGTGGGCATCGGCCCAGGGAAACCCCCCCTTCTGACCCTCTGGCTCTCTTGCAGACCCTGGGAGTGTCCCCCACGGCCCCCTTCCTGGCCTGGAGCAACCAGCGCCCCCTGGAGACTGCCTACAGCTCTGCAGCCCACCTCCTCCTCTTCCAGGAGCCCACGGCCTCTCTGAAGCCCATGGTCCCCAGCCAGAAGCCCTCTGCCAAGGAGATCCGCTTCCCCACCCTTGGCGCTTACCCCAGAATTGCTCCTCACCCAGGCCGGCAGCCCGAGGAAGCACCCAGCCCAGCGGCAGAGCCCATCAGGCACAAGCGGCTCTACGTGGGGGAGGCCTGGGCGCCTCCAGAAGCCCCCACTGGAAAGGACAGCTGGGAGAAGTCGCCCGAAGGGTTGCCCACCAGCCTACAGACGGCTGCCCTTGTGTGCCCACAGGCCCCCGCTCATCCCCCCTTGCCCTGCGCTGGGCGCAGGACGGCTGTCAAAGGCGCCAGGAGACCGGGGGAGCACAGCCTGGTGAGACAGCGCCGCCTGCACAACACGGTGGAGATCCTGCGCAGGTCGGGGCTGCTGGGCATCACGCTCCGGACAAAGGAGCTGCTCCGGCAGAACAGCAGGGCCCAGCAGGAGCTGGCCCAGCTGCGGGAAGAGGCCCAGCTGCTCTGCCAGGCCGTCCGGAACAGCGACTGGCAGGCGTGGGCTCGCCTTCAGGGCGCCGTCGGCCACTCGGCAGCCCCCTGCCTGCCCAGCAAGGGGGCCGGCACTGAGACCCCCTTGGGGCAGCAGCCGAATTTAGCCACTCAGCCCCCCGGCCTGGACACCCCCTTGCCCACCGCCCGGCCCTGCCTGCCCCCCCCCCCCCCCCCCCCCGAGCTCACATCGGGCCCTGGGCAAAGGCCAGCGTCTCTCTCGCCAAAGGAACTCTCAGCCGCCCCCAGGCCCTGCCTGGCCTTGCCCTGCCATCCATCCTTGGTCTCAGGGCGGGCTGGCTTCTCCGGAGCCCCCAGGATGGGGCTTAGCAGGCACAGGATCGGAGCCCAGCGAGACGGAGGGGAAGGAAGGCGTTTGGGAAGCTCCCGTCGTGTTGGGCATTGTTTGCGTCAGCTGTGAGCCTCCGTCTCCAGAGTTCAGGCAGTCGGAAGCGGCGGACCCACCCAAAGGAGTGACAGTCGAGACGCCCCCTCCCGCCGCCCATCGGCTAGCAACTGCGCTGCCTTGTTCATCTGGCCACCTGTGCCCTGAAGGAGCTGGTTCTCTGCTGATGAACTCTGGGCTTGCTCTGCCGTTGCCAGAAGAGGCGCTAATTAAAAAAAGCAAAAATCTGGATGTGATTCAGCCTTTGTCTTTCGCCCTGTGTGGGTCCGAGGGGGCTGCCATGGGGTGAAGGTGTGCTGGGGCAGCCACTGCAGGGCAGCAAAACCTCGGAGTGGGCCAAGTCTTGAGCACCCCGGAATCAGCCCTTCAGCCTGGCCAGAGATGCGAGAAACCCCCCTGGAGAACCGCGTTTAGGGAAGGGTGTGCACTCCTCCAGGTCTCTGGGCGCAGCTGCTGGAGCTCCCGGGGTGC